TTGAGCCTGGCCAGGCCTCAGGATTGTCTGCTCGTTTTTCAGTGACAGAGTCTTGGAGTCATTTTTGGTTGCAAACGGTCTTATTTCCCAAATTAAGATGTTAGTCCCAGGTGACGGTCAAAACAGCAAATTTGATGTGGCACTTGGTCCAGGTCCTCCCAGCACAGCCTAGAGGGAGGATGGGACTGGGGAGAGGCAGCCAGGGCACAGGGTCCGGGTGGCCTGCCTGGGGGCCTCCAGCTTCCCAGGCCTGGCGGCTGCTCGGGCACAATGCTCTGTGGGTGGCAGACCCCGACATGGTTGCCGCCCGTGGCCCCTGATGCTGGGCCGGGCCCCCCCCCCCATAGGCCTGGCAGTTGACGGACGGGACCCTCCCCCAGAACTCCTGAGTGGACGTGCCTCCTCCAGAAGCCCTCCTCACCCCCAGTGTCCTGCTGAGGTGGCCCTACTGGATGCGACCAGGGGAGCCCCACACTGGCCACCTCCCCTCGCACGACCACGTCTGGTCCATGGGAGATCGCACCCCCAGTGCAGCCGCTGCCCTGCTCCACACCAAACAGGGGTCACCTTCGGTTCATCCTCTGGGTTCCCCGGGGTGAGCCACGCCCAGGCGGCCTCTGGGGCAGGACCCCAAAGCTGACCCGGCCTCTACCCTGGAGCCCCTCACCAGCCTAGGACTAGTGCTCGCCCTGTGCCCCCACATCCCCAGAGCGCCCAGGTGCCAGCCAAGCAGCGCAGGCGAGGTACCGGGACGCACACGCCCCACGGACACGCACACCCGTTCTCCCACCCAGTGAGCAGCGTGGACGTGCCCAGGAGGCAGACCCTGGTCGGCCGGAGCAAGAGCTGGGGCCCCGTATGGACGCCTTGGGGAGGGCCGGAGCCCGCAGCTCTCACCTCTGCCCGTGAGGACAGAGAGCTCCCAGCAGACTCCCCGCTTCTGCCCAGGCCCCCGCCACCCCTCGAGAGCCCAGAGAAGTTCAGTAGAACAAACCACTGGCAGACGCCAGGCAGCCCAGCCGATGGCCCCGGAACACCCGGCACCCCCCACACACACCCCCAGACGTGCAGGACTTCTGCATGGCGCGTGTGACTTAAGGAGGTGGTGAGTGCGCTTCCTATTAGGAACATTCGGGCGGTGCTTCCTGAGCCAGCGGGTCGCCGTCAGCCAAGCCTGAGGCACAGAAACCCTCCCAGGCTCTGGGCATCGGGACGCAGACACGCCTTCCAGGCAGCCGTTCAGCCCTTGCAGAGGGGCAGACCAGGCGCTTGGCCTGGGACACGCCACGTCAGAGGCGCCTCTTGGATCCCAGGAGCGACGTGAGCAGCTTTCTTGTTGCAGTGGTGGGGGGGACGTCCAAGCGGGAAGGCCACTGACAGCCACGAGGCTGGGGAAGTGGCCTGGGCCCAGCTTCTGGGAAGGGCCCCCAGCCGGGCCTCAGGTGCACGAGGGTTACAGGGACAGGCCAACCAGCGGCAGTGAGCGAAGCAGGGTGAGCCCGAGTCACCAGGCTCCGGGCAAGGGGCTGTCGCCCTTGAACTCCGCATCTCTGTGCTCTGTCCTGGGTCCCAAGCCCCAGACCCCGGGAGCAAACCGCCGGGTTTTGGGCCAAGTTGTTATGCAGCCCTGGAAACAGCCATTTCTCCCTCAGCTGAGTTGGGAAGCCCTGCCCCCACCCCCGGTGACCCTGGCTCCGATCCCACCCCACCCCGCATCCTGCCCGAGCCGCAGCCTCACTGGCCCGCAGCCCCAATTCACCCCCAAAGGGCCAACCACACAGCCTCACACAGGGCCTGCTGTGTCCACCCTGGGGGTGTGGGTGGGCAGAGCCAGCTTGGGTCCGGACCACCAGCCGCTGCTGCCGCTGCCACCCAGGCCTGAGGACTAAGAAGGGTGTGGCGTTTCACAGGAAGTCAAGGGCCGAGGGAGACCTTTGGGTGGGGCTCCTTCTCTGGGTCTCACTGGCACCACCTCACACCATGGACAGAATCTAAGTGTGGCCCCTCCATGAAGCAGTTCGCCTCAGAGTTGGAGCACACCCCAAAACTGTGGTCCCCAAACATCTCTGCACACCCCCATCAGCAACCTAAGTAAACATGACACCCTGCGCCCTGGTGGGAGTCACCCCAGGAGTTCAAGGTTGGTTTAATGCTCAGTAACCAACCCACGTGCTGTGCCGCCTCCACAGGATGCAGGACACCCCCACCCCAGTCACTCCGGCGGCCCCAGGAAAAGCCTAGGCGGAGGCCGACCTAGTCACAGTTTGAAAATCACGGAAGAAATGTACAAATAGCAACTCTCAACAAACGAAAGAGGAAAAGGAGTACAAGCTGCCAGGCACACAGCGCCCGGGCCCCGGCCGGGCGGAGGCGGGACAGCCCTGTGCACCTCCTGGCACGGCACTTGCCCAGGCCGTGGGTGAGCGCACGGCGGGACGATGACCATCACCCATCGGGAAAGCGGCACAAGGCAGCTCCCTGGCAGGGAGGGAGGAGGGAAAGGGGGAAATCGCCCCTGAAGAGGCAGCCAGCCAAACACGGGAGAGAAGAAACAAAATAACGCACGAGCGATGACCCTCCCTGGCAGACCCGAGCATCTGGCCGCCCAGAAGAGAAGCCTGCTTCCTCCCTCTGCTTCTCCTCCAGGCAGAGAAGTTTCCAGACCAAATAAGGCTGCAGCCCTTGCAGCGCTCCTGGCATGGAACGCAGCTCCTTTTAAGTGCCAGGTTACAGGCTGGGACGTCCAGAGCAGCCTGGTGCCCATCAGCCCAATGACCCCCCTCCTCCCAGGTCACGCCCCAAACACACCCGGGAAAACCCAAGCGGACCAGCAGTGACGATGGGCCTGCTGGCTCAGAAGGAGCTGGAGCCCACACGAGGGGCCGGACTCCCAAACCAGCCACCCCTGCAAGTGGCCGACCGGCTCCTGGGGCCCGAGCGCCCCGGCCTCAGCTCGAGCAGTGCCTGCGTGGCAGCTCGTGTGGGTCTCTGGAGGCGATTCTGAGTGCCGAGGCGCCAGGCACGGTTTCGGGCGTTTAGTCCTCCCAGAGGCCCGGTGACATAGGTCCCATCATTCCCTGCCCCTGGGTGGGGGGGTGAGGCACGGGGCCATGGGGCCTGGCCGGTACCAGGTGGATCCAAAGTGAACCCAGGGCCAACAGGCTGCAAGCAGGGCTCTCCTGTGCTGTACGGCTGGACCCCAGAAGGAGGGAGGCTCGCGACCCGGGAGGGAGTCCTTGGCCTTTGGCCCCTGCAGGTTGCCACGAGCACACTTGCTGGCTGGGAGGACTTCTGGCCCCAGAGAGTTTTTCCTTTTTTGGGGGCTCCTATGTCTGAACCAAGTGTAGGACATTTTTCAAGGAACCAGTGACACCTTTCTAACAAGGTCTCTCTAGACAAGAGATGGAAACTTTCTGCGCCGAAACCATCAACCCCAACAGTTAACGATGCGTCAGAGCTGGCCGGAGTGGAGGTCAGTGAGGGATGGGCACTCCGTGCGGGGGCAGGTGGGCAGGCCCCGCACCAAGGCCCTGACGGGCACCCACTGACCTGGACCTGGGCTGACACGCGCCACCGCCCACTGCTCTGCCCGGGGGCCGCTCAGCATGGCCAGCAGGGAGGCGGTGCCCACCCCGTTGTGGAGGGGCAGACCGGCTCCAAGAGGCGAAGGGACTCGCCAAAGCCAGTCGATGCAGGCAGCATTCAAGCCCAGGGTCTCCCAGTTCTGGACCCTTCCAGCAGCCGTCCCCCTCTGCTGCGAGCTCTTCCTGGCAGAACAGCCCATGGGGAGGGCATGGGGAGGGCATGGGCAGGAGGAGCAGGGCCTGCTCACTCTCTTACAAGGACAGTGCCCCAGTCCGCCCTGTCCCTGTGCCGAGACGGGGTGTGTGCGCTCAGTGAGACAGACAGATGTGGGCACCACTGAGCCAGCAGAGACCCTTGTGGCTGCAGTGACAGAAACACAAGGCAGGCTCTCTTCAGCTGAAAAGGGGGGGTTACTAGCTCAGGACACTGGGAAGAATGGTCAGGGATCAGGTGTGGCTGGATCCAGGTGCTCCCACAACGGGCTAGGTTATCCTTCCATCCCTGTTGCGGTTGCGTCTGAGTTGGGGGCATCTCTCCCGCCGGCCGTCCTCCTTGGGAAGGCAGGGAGGGGCTGCCCGGCCGGCGGGGGGAGAGCCGACGTCTTCCCTTCAGCAGCTGTGCCTCCAACGGCCATGCCCAACGACGCAGTGGATGCCTCACTGCGTCACAACCACCTGTGCACACATCTCCCACCTGCCACAGGCGCGAGGGCCGCGCTGCCCATCTGCAATGCCTCGTGTCGCTCCAGAACAGCCCAGTCCTAGGGACACCTGCCAGGAGCGAGCAGGAAGGCGTGTACACAGGAAGGAGGGAAAGGAGGGCCAGGGTGGCACACAGGAGCCATTGGGCCTGGGCAGGGGGATGGGAACCCCATGAGGGGGTGACACACAGCAGCGCCAGACAGGGGGATGGCCCCGAGAAGGGCTGGCCCCACTGGCAAAAGCAGAGGGTCATGGTGCGTGGGCCCGCCGTGGAGGGCACATCAAAGACGCGAAACAAACAAGGCACCCGAGGGACGCAGACCAAGGGCACCTCCCTGCGTGGCTGCTCAGGGAGGCTGAGCGTCACCGGGGCCACAGGACACGAGGAGCACTTAAGGGCAGTGGGCCCGTGAGGAGGGTCTGGGAGGGCGGGTGGTGGAGGGCACTCAGGAAGTCAGTCCTGGGCCCTGGGGGCGGGGTGAGGATGGGAAATAGAACCGTGATGCAGGGCAGCCCCAGGCCCCGGGCAGGCAGGCAGGCAGCCACCTCCGCCCACGTGGGCCCACGCAGCCCACCTGCTCTGACACCTGACGCCTGTGGACGCCCGAGTGTGCACAGCAGACGCCGCTTGCCCGGCCCCTTTGGCTGCCAGGGGCGTGTGAGCAAAGTGGGAGGGGCTCCCTCAGACACACAACATTCGGTGGGTGGTGTGCACACCTCTTTAATTTTTAAATAACTTATATCCCTTCCAAACAAGCAAAACCCTGAGACCAAAATAGCACGTCCACCTGAGGTTCTCACAACAAAGCAGCTGGCAAAGGACACGGAGCCCTCGGGGCCCCGGGCTCTGGGACGGCTCCTTCCCACGACGGTCCCCCCATGGCAGCCATGGCAGCTGGTCCCAACGCCAGTGCCAAGGGCAGGCTCGCAGGGGCCAGGGGGCCTTCAGGAGCCACACCCCAGTCTGACCCCCGATTTCACAGCAGCACCTGCTGCCCTGCGGGGTCAGGGTGGGGTCGCTGTAGGCACCAGGGACAGCCGACAGGGGAGAGCGGCCTTGGGGCAGCCACGGCTCCAAGGAAGGGTGAGCCGGCTGCTGGGGACACTCGGGGGGGAGTGCTCAGCGGGGCCGGCACCGCGCACACCAGCCCTCTCTCTCCCCGAAGGGCTTGAGGCCGGCCAGCCCCAGACAGTGGACAGGCCTGGGCACATCTCCAAGGGAACAGGGCCTTTCTCTCCCTCGTGGCAGCAGGAATTCAGGCACTGGAATCTCGGGTTTGACTGGGAGAGAAGGAAGCGGGGGGCGGTCTGGGGAGAAGGGGTCACAGCATTCCCGGGCCTGGAGCACCAGGCCCCGAGAGAGGCCCACCCCTCCCCTCCCCTCCCACTGCCGGCTTCTCCTGGTCCCGAAAGCCCGGCCTTCCTCCCACAGGCCCCAGGAGGCACAGAGCCCTGGAGGAGGCGGTGCGGGTTGGCTCCAACCGGCGGGCTCACACCGGCCCCGGGTGCAGCTAGAGGAGCAGAAGCACCCAGGGGCGGCCTTCTCACCCCACCCGTCTGTTCAGAAACGAAGTCTGGAAGCCGCGTGGGAGGACCTGGGTCACTTCTCCTCCCTCCGTTTGCTCTTCCTCTGGCCGGTCAGCTCGTTCAGCTTCTTGTCCAGCCTCCGCTGGAGCTGCGCCCTCTTGGCTGGGTCCAGGGACCGGTCCTTGGTCCCGCTGCCGGCGTGCAAGACCCCCTCCCGGCTGATTCTCTGCCGGGCGTGGGCGCGAGCCTGCTCCCCACAGCCGTGGATCTGGGGGGAGCACAGGAGTCAGGGCGGCCGACTGGGGACATGGGGACACAGTCCTGCGGTCCGGCCTGTCGTGGAGCTCGGGGACCACGACACCCCAGCTCGAGAGCTCGAAGAGGTCCATCCCCCCGCCCCCTGCACACGACCCTTCACCGCAGGCCTCCTGCCCCGCACCCATGCCCTTGGCCAGGCCTCCCTGACAGGGTGGCGCAGTTTTGCATGTGACACACGGGACCGGCCCATCCCCGCGGTCGGCTCCACCAAAACCCTCCAGGGCCCCCGCCGCCGCCAGCAGCAGGTCGGAGCTCTGTGAGGCAGAACGCGGGGCGCTGCTCAGCCCCCGCTCAGCCCCCACTCTCACTGTCCCCCCGACCTGTGACCCTGGGTCTCTGAATGCACCGCCTTCTGTCTGTGGGGTCTCGGCCCCAGTGTTACTGCCTCGGAAGCTGCCTCCCTGGCCCCCGGGACCCCCCACTGCATGGTGCCATATGCTGGTCTCTTAATCTGATCCCCACTGGACCCAGGGCCCCCTGGGGCACCAACGAAGCTGTTCTGGTCCCCAGTCCCCACTGCTGGCAGAGGAGGTTCCCATGGACACATGCTCAAGGGATGAATGAATGAACAAATGAATGGGCAGCTGCCAGCCCGTTTCAGATGGTGGCCCAGGGGCCCCACACCCCACCTTCCCTGCCTACCCCACTGACAGAACCTGGGGCGCCCTGAACAAACTCCTGAAATTCCCACCCACGTGGCTGTAATGAGCAAATGTGGCGTTACTCCTACTTCTGCCCTGGTGGGCTCCAAAATCACCCCTGGAGACACTTAGAGCTTATGACCAGAACTGGTTCCGTCTAGAGGACGTCTGCCCAGGATCCGGAGCCCAGAGACAAAGCCCCCGCCCCTCGCACTGCCCGGGCCCCGAGCTCGGCCCGCGTACCTCAGGCAGGCAGTGGCTGAGGCAGTAGCGGCGGCCGCAGTGCAAGCAGAGCTGGCCCAGGGTCACGACACTGGCCGTGCACTTGGCAAAGCTACAGGCATTGTCAGCCCTCACAGCAGCAGAGACCAGGGCATCGAAGTCCTCCACAGCGGGCAGACTGAGGGCCTCGGGTCCTGCGGGAGAGCAACACCACTCAAACAGGGAAGAACGGGGTCCGATCAGACGTCTCCTGCTAGGCCCACGTCTGCCCCACCGGGAGCCGGAACTGCCCTGCCTTTATGGCCCAGGCAGGGCAAACGCAGGCTCAGTCGTGCTGGGTGCGCTCCTCTCAGAGCCAGTCCCAGTGCCCACTGGGCAAGGGGCGGTGCAGCCCCAGCACCTGCAGTGAGCGGACTCCACCCCCTTTACCCCAGAAAACACCCCGTCAGCAGGGCGTTCCTCACAACGTCAGCTGTGAAAAGGAAAGCCCCAACAGTCCAGCCCGCCCCGCCAGGGAATGGGTCCCATGAGCCACAGTGCGCTCCCGCGCAACACCAAGGGGCTGATGCTTTCAGCCAGACACACGGAAACCTTCCCAGGCCGAGCAAGGTGCTCTGCATAGGAAAGGCACACAGAACTACCTGTGGTTGTAGTTCTGCAAAGTGAACATGTGTGAACACATGCAGAGACATGGGAGCAGACACAGGAGGGCACTTCCCTGAGCCACGACCCTCGACAGGTGTGCCGTGGTGCTCGGTGCCCGGGGCAGAGTGGCTAGCCAGGGAGGGCTCACCTGTCCTGCCGTCGCCTCCCCTGACCCTCCCCGCAGGACAGGCAGCACCCTCGGCTGCGTGGGCCTCTAGCCACAGCCACAGGGTCTGCCGGGGCCACCTCTGCCTCTCAGCGGCTGGGCCCCTGGAGACCAACGGGACAGGTCCCGTCCAGAGCCCGAGTGGCGAGCTCAGTTCTGATGGTGGCTGCTTGAAAACATGCTTCCAACACCGGGCAGCACCCACATCCCTGAAATGGGGTGACCCTGCCACATGCCTCCTCCCGGAAGGCAGGCCTGGTCCTCTGAAAACACACTCCTGGTGCCCGCCCCTCTGGGACGTTTACTGTCCCCGGCACGGCTCCGGGAGTTCAGCGTCTCTGCCCTGCCAACCCTCATCCCTGCAGAGTGGACGGTACCCGTCACGGTGGCCCAGCACACAGTGGCCGCTCACCGACACTGCGGACTGGACTCGCCGACTCCAGAACCCACACGTCACGCCTGCTCCCGAGGAGGGGGAGGGAAGCTGCTCCCCCAGAGTCCCCCGGAAACCCCGGCTGCGGCTGCCGGCTGTTCCAGCTCTGCCCGCGGACACCCGCTCCCAGCGCAGGGCAGGGCCCGGGGGACGGCCCACTCGGCACAGGACGCCCTGACCAAGCTCCCGCCCTCCCTGGGTCCAAGTCAGGAACACTGGCGCCACGGCCCTGGCCGGGGACCGCTGTGCCCACCGCCCAGAGGATGCTGGTGACCGGCCTGCCTGTTCCGCCAGCCCCATCCGTGAGTAGGTGTGCTCCCTGCCTGCCAGGCCTCGCACGAGGCTCTGGGAACTTGTGGTCACCGTGCCCGGTCACCACCCTCGGGGGGGCTCCTTCCGAGGCCATGAGGCGCCACGTGCAGAGTCAGGGCACCAGGAGGAGGAAGCCCTACTTCCCTTTGAGGGCGCGGGGGGCGGGGTCTGAAGTGGGCAGACATTCGGGAATGGGGACGCCACGCCTGTGTTCTCATTAGCGGGCCTACTAACCTTTTGCACCTTTTTTCTTTTTCTTTTCTGGGCACTTGCGAGGCCCCAAGCCCGCGGCCTGCGGCCGCTCCCGGACCTGCTGCTCCTGCCGGGCCCTCTCCCTCTGCAGCCTGTCCAGGTGCACGGCCCTCAGGTCCAGGCCGCTCGGCTCTCCGGCGGGCGGACTCCTCGCGCACGGGGCTGGGGGGCTCAGGTCGAAGAGGGGCTTGGCTGTCAGCCCCTGCCAGGGGTGGGGCAGCTGGCGTGGCCCCGGTGGCAGGCACGGCCGGTGTGGACGGGGTGGCAGGCATGGCTGAGGTGGCTGGCGCGGCCGGGGTGGCCGGCAGGGCTCTCTTGCTCACAGTGATGTACCTGCTCCTCCCCTCCCCGGCGCTGCCGTGCCTCAGCTGGTACTCCTCGGCTATCTGGTGGATGCGCAGCCTGTCGTGTGAGTTCAGGGAGGCAGGAAACTCCAACTGCACTCGCTCGCTTGCCACAAACTCCGCTATCACAGCCCTGAAGCGGTCTGCGCCGTCCCTGCCCTCCGCCCGCTCTGGGCCGCCTCCGTTGAGGCTGGGCTGGGAGTGGGCCTCGGAGCCCGAAGGCTTCCCGCCCCGCGTCCTCTGGGCCGGCCTGGCAGCCGCTCTGGCCTCCCCAACTCCCTCGAGTCGCCTGGTTCCAGGCTTCACGGCAGACGTGGCGGAGCCTTGGGGCTGCGCGCCCACCTGGCCCTGGGAACTCTCGTGGGAATAGTTCTCAGGGACGATGTCGTCGAGATACTCGAAGGCGGTGCGCACCTCCCCGTGCTCAGCGAAATAATCCAGCAGGGCCTTCAGGAAGGCGTGGCTGCTGACGGTGCGAGAATCGCAGATGACCGCCACATGGCGCCGAGCACGGGTGACGGCGACGTTGATCCTCCGGTCCTCGGCAAGGAAACCAACCTCACCTAAAAACAGGGCGGTGAGCGGGCAGGCAGATCTGAGACGGAGGAGTAGGAAGCTCCTCTTCTGCCCTGAGCAGCAGCCGCCCCCCAAGAAGGACCAGCTCAAGGCTTGCTGCTGCCGGGGGCCTCTGTCTCCACCTCCCGCGGATTCGCCCGCCCCCAGCCCCGCTGCCTCACTCACGGCCCGAAAGGCCCCGCGGGGCTGCTACGGCTGCTCGGACACCCTGCTGGCCCACCACGGCTCGGCGGGACGTGAGACGGCCCCCACCTTGGACTTCGGTAGCTACACACCCTCACTCGTTTCCGAGTGGTAGGGGCTCCTCTCCCCGGGGCCCAGACCTAGGACTCAGCCCAGGGGTGGGGGGTGGACAAGGATGTGGCTTCCCACCTCCTCCTGAAAACACCTTCCAAAGGCCACGGGCTGAGATCTGTCTGTGGGTCACAACCTTCTCACCACAGGGACCAAGCTCGACTGTCACTGACACCACACCCTGAGGCCAAACCAGCCTCAAGGCCGGAAGATGAGCTCTGGGTTCTGGGGGCCCCCGCAGGGTGTCCGGGCTGCCCTGGCTCCCGGCTACCACCCCGCCCCACCTCGTGCCTGAGCCTCCGTGCGGGCAACGCCATGCCCCACCCCACTGGCGCTGGCCACTCCGGCCCCCCAACTCCAGGGCACGCCCCCATCAGAGGCCTCGCCACCGGTCACTGCCGCCCTGCACTACACAGGGAGCTCACGGAGGAGCCTGGGCTCCGAGACCGCAGCCCCAGTGACTGGCGCGGCCCCCAGCAGAAACCCAGCCCTCCCTCCCAGGACGCCAGTGAGCGCTGCCTACCCTTCCGGTTGGACCTGACGAAGGACAGGACCACGGCCTCCTTCTCGCGGCCTTGGAAGCCATCGACGGACTTGATTTCCAGCTCTGGGTGCCTGTGGGAGAGGCTCTGCCGGAGCAGGTCCACCTGAAACACCATGCAGGGCCGGGCCTCAGCACGGACACCGTGCGGGCTGCCCACAGAGCAGGAAGCGGGGTGCTGGGCCGCAGGCCCCTCCAGGGGCGGAAGCAGGAGGGTTTTCCCGGGGCAGGGGGCACAGCTTTGCTCCAGAGGCAGAGACTCGGCGGCAGAGAAGGTGAGAAACGCCCAAGATAAGGGAACAGCCATCCGTTGCCCTGCTGACCCGTTGCCCGCCCCTCCCACCAAGGCCGCCCACGCCCGCGCTGTCCACGGCATCCCCCAGGAAGCCCGGCTGGGCCAGCACCCAGCTCCTGGCCACAGTGACTGGCTCAGGGACAGGGACAGCCCGAGCCAGACCCCATGGGACTGAAAACTGAGATCCTTGGGGGACATGCTGTAAAAGGACCACTGTTCCCCAGGGGTGGCCTGTGTACAGACCACGGCAGCGCGTGGTTGTCAGGACCACCGGAAACAGAGGCCAACGCCAGGGGCCAGGCGGGGAGGTCAGGTCGGGTGGAGGACGGCAGAGCAATGAAACAGATGGATGGACCAACAGACAGAAGCTCCAGCTCCTGTCATCTGAGCCTACATCCAATGTGACATGGTCACTCCGCCCCGAGTTTCCGGTCAGAAGGCCCAACACACGGCCCTCTCTCCAGCTCATGGGGAGGCAGAGCCCGCTGACAGGCACAGGGCAGGGGGACAGGGGGGCCTCTCGCACCTGCAGGTTGTACGGCGTGATGACTGCAATGTCACTCGCACGGACGCCAGCGTCCACCAGGGCCTGGACGTGCAGACTAACCAGGCGCACCTCTCCTGCAGGGGACAGAGAGCGAGGTTCCAGGACAAGGGACTTGGCCAGCTGACCCGACAGCGACCCGGGAGCTCATGCCTGCACTGGAGGCCTGCCAGATTCAGCCATGTGCCCTCTCTGAGGGGCGCCTGGGAGTGGGCCCAGCAGAGGTCCTGCGGCCGAGGGAGGGCACGGTCCCACGGCCAGCCAGGCAGTGCGGAACGCTCTGCTCAGACTCGAAGATAAAGCCCTGCCCGCATGCAGCTGCCTCCAGCGGGTGCCGCCGGCTCACGGAGAACTGCACCCGAGCTCAGGCCCTCGGAGCTGCACTCCCCACTGATCCTGGCGCCCTCCCCTCGCCTCCACCCCCAGGTCGGCCACTTTAAGGGGTGTGTGTGTGTGTGTGTGTGTGTGTGTAGGGAGGAGCCAGGGGCTGTCGTCCGAGCACAAGAGCCGACTCCTGAGAGCGTGCTCACCGGGGTTGCCCCGAGACTGCTCGTCCTCCTGCTCCAGCTCAGACAGCCCACAGCCAGCAGTGTCCACCAGCAGCAGCGGCAGGCCCGTCTCCTCGGTGGCCGCCACTCCTGGGAGGTCCCTGCACACAGGAGAGACGGGGCGTGAGAGGCCCCAGCGTGGGGGCCCTGAAAGCAGCACCAGCCCCTCCCTGCCCCGCCCCCCCCACAGTGCGACCCGCACCACAGGAGGGCGGGGCACCACCCAGGCAGGTCCAGGGCAGACAGCACATCACACAGAGGTGCCCAAACCCAGCCTTGCTTCTGGAAAACTGCTCCTTGAGGCAACGCCCCCTCTAACCTCTGTGCGGACCCCCCAATGGCACGGGGGCTGGGTCAGGACCTGGGGACGCAGCCCCGCCACTCACCGCAGGAGGCGCTCCGCCACGGACGGGTGCGCCGTGAGCCGCCCCTCGTACAGGGCCTCAGAGGCCCACTGCATGATGGCCCGGTGCATGCGGTACTGCACCGTCAGCATCCGCAGCACGCCCGCGCCGCACTGCCCGGCCAGGCGCTCCATCAGGCTGAGGGACAAACCCGCCAGCGCGGCCCTGCACCGAGAGAAGGAGGGGAGCCGGGAGGGAGGCCTGCCCGCCCCTTGCCACCCAAGTCCAGCCCCAGGCTGAGGGCCGGGAAGAAAGGCTGTGCTCAGACCACAGACCTGACTGTCCGCAGTTCTGACTGAAGACTAGGGGGCACTGGCTGAACAGCAGCCCCCAAGAATGCCCATGTCCTCCCCACGGACTGTGGGTACGTAACGACGGGGACTTCGCAGGTGGGACAAAGTTAAGGGTCTGACACGTGAGCTGCCCTGGCCCCGGTCATCGTGGGGGTCTTATCAGAGGGAGCACAGGGTCGGGGTCAGAGAGGACGACGTGAAGAGAGCAGAGGGTGTCCCACTGCTGGTACTGCAGATGGGGCGGGGCCACAGGTCAGGGGGCGGGGCCACGGGTCAGGGGCGGGGCCACAGGTCAGGGGGCGGGGCCACAGGTCGGGGCAGGTGGCAGAGACAGGCATCCCTTGGGGCCTGTTCCCTGGGGTGGCAGCAGTCCACGCACCGGGAGGGAGTCTGTGCTTGGTCACAGTGCTGGGAACACTGTCCCCTTGGTGGCAGGGCTGCATGCGCCGAGTCACTCCCGAGTGGCCTGGGGAAGGACGGGCCCACAGCCCAGGGATCCAACCCCAGGGGCGGCCAGCACAGCCCACGCCAGTGCGTGTGGCCCTGCGACCCACTGGGGCCCTTCCATCCAGCAAGCGCAGCGGAGCATGACCGAGATGCTCAGCCACCAAGGTGAATGGGACTCGACCCCTGACCTCCAGGAGCTCAGTCTGAGAGACAAAGACCGAGTGCAGGGTAGGGCACAGAACAAAGGGGTGCAGGGTGTGTAGGGAGCAGAGGCGCCGGGCAGGGGGCCTTACTTGGGAGAGACAACGGTGGGGGGCAGCTGCTTGTGGTCCCCGGCAAGGACGCACTTGCGGGCCTTCAGCAGGGGCACCCAGCAGCTGGCCTCCAGGGCCTGGGCACACTCGTCAATGACCACCAGGTCGAAGGAGTAGTCGGGCAGCAGCTTCAGGGGGCCGTCGGGAGATGCGCCTGGTGGGGCCGGGGCCACCACGGTCACCGTGAGCCAGCTGTCCCACCATGGTCTTGCATTCAGACCGGGTGCAGCCAAACGTGCGGCCTGGGCAAGGACGTTAAAGAGCCCGCAGTCCCTGCCCACCTGTGTTTATGTGGGGCACGGCCTGACCTCAGCCGGGGGCCACTCCGAGGCTCTGATCCCCACTACTGTGGGGCCGCGACCCCAGGTCCCCCGGAAGGCTGTCTTATCTCTAGTCCTGTCTCATCCTCTGAACTTAGCAGGCGACTCCCTCTCCTCGGAGGTGCTTTCGGAGCCGTTAACCAGTGAGCCCGCACCCAGAGACAAAGCCTGCACGCGTCCGACCCCCCAAGCCGGGCACGGGGTTAAGCAGGTGAAGCCTTTCCGACGCGCACGTCCACCCGGGGAGAGACGGCCCGGACATCCCCGTGTCCGTGAAAGAAATCAACCTGCAGTTGAACCCCCACGAAGGAAGCCCCAGGCCCAGGAAGCTTCGCTGTGAATTCCACACAAACGCTTCCGGAAAAGCGCACACCCGAGAGGCCAGGCGGGCGGCCCCGCGACACCTGCCCCTCACCTGTGTTTGTTGCCAGGATCACGTCCGCTGACTGCAGGCTGTGCCGTGCGGCGGCCTCTTCCCGCTCCTGCAGCTCCTTCCGCAGCAGCTTGACTTCGTTTCGAAAACTGCTTTTCTCTCTCTTATCCTGGGTCTTTCTAATTTTCACCTACAAAGGAAATCAAAGGAGGTACGACTGCTCTGACGCGACTTGGCAGGTGTTTAGCTCTGCCCCCCAAGTACTACCCGGGCCCGGCCCTGCTCAGCTGCGGAGGGCAGATGAGGTCGGACGTGTTCAGGGCGGCGCGGCCGTGCACCCGCTCGTTCCAGTTCACACAGCGCTTTTATCTGCTACCACTCGGTCCACTTCAGTACGTCCCTCAAGAGGCACTAAGAGTCACAGCCTTTCTTCAAGGAGCAATGGATGCACACAGGCGACTGAGCGCCTGGCCCCAGAGCCCTGCCGCCTGCACATGGAGGGGCCGGAGTGGGGGGGGGGGGCACCCCTGCCAGAGCCACCAGCCAGACTCTGGGAGCAGAAAGCACCTGTGCGTCCCAGGAGGTGGGCTTTGGTCCTTCACAGACCAGAGAGGCTGAGCCTTGCTCTTCATTCCACCTTTGTCAAGGGCAGAAAGATTCTATGCAGCCCCCGAAGTGCCTGACGGACTCCCATACTCACAGAGAGGAGCCCGTGCCCCACAAGAGCCCGGCCCTGGGTGACAGGTGCCCCCCTCAGGGACAGGCAGCGTCACCGTGCCCCACTCACAGGACCCACACCCTGAAAGGGCTGCTGGAGCCGCAGGGGAGCAGGGCTCCTGTGCATCTGTGGCACAGCGCTCATGTGACCGCGCAGTCCCATGCCGCCTCTGACGCTGGGGGCACATGCAGACCCGGTCCCCATGCACTTAGCGGGCACGGTGGGTGCACGGCACCGGCCCTGGGGGCCAGCGCTCCGAGGAGCCGGCACAGCGCAGTGACAGCGCAGATAGTGTACACACTCAGGGCAGGATGCCGAGGAGGTCGGGCGACCCTGGACTGAGACCAACGCGCCCGGACGACAAGAGAAAATTGCCCACATTGACCGGTGCCTACCGACCCACTGCGCTCTCCTTCGAGAGGACCTGCCACAGGGACCGACAGACCGGGCAGGGACACGCGAGGACCACATTTTCTCCCCGACAAGCCCTCGCCTGCTCGGGACACTGCCTGGAAGACAGCTGAGTCCCCAGGAAATGCTGAGCGCAGGGGCCGCAGCCCCCACCTGGACCCTGAGCCAGCACAGGCCATGAGGAGCAAGGGGGACACGGGCCGGTGCAGGTCAGCCTGGAAAAGCCCACGGGTCAGAACCTCCCACCCGTCCGCGGGGCAGTGGCGGGCTGAGGGACACGTACCAAGACCTGGTCGATGTCCCGCCGGATGTCTGCCACGATCTGGGCGCTGTCGCCACGCGCCAGCGCCGCGTCCAGACAGTGCTGCTGGATGGACTCCAGGAGCCGGGCCGGGTGCCCGAGGCGCAGCACCCGCCGCCCGCGCCGAGCCAGGGCCTCCACCAGGTTGTCCACGGCGACGTTGGAGGGCGCGCAGCACAGGACCTGCGGGCACGGGTTGGGCGAGTTCGGTTTCCACGGAAGCAGACAGGAAGCCTCACGGGCAGAGAGCAGGGTGCAGTGTGGCCGACTGGCGGCGCCAGGTGCACACCCTCAGCCGCGGGGGCGGGGGACAGCCTGAAGGACACGCGTGGCCGAGAACCATCACGGTATCTGGACACCTAGAACTCAGGGCCTGCCAGCCTCCTCATCTCCAGAGCCCTGGACACGCTGAGGGACTAGTAACTGCGGAGGGAAGGAGCAGTGCCCAGAAATAACCAGCTGGGACACCACTCGTCACTGACCCCGCGGCCTTGCCACCTGACAGTGTGGCCCAGACAGGGCTCAAATGGCTGAGTCTTGCTCCTGGAACCGCCATTCGAAGCACTGGTAGCCGGCACAGGAGGCAGAGGGGAGGGTCCCTGTTCAGGTCAACGTCAAGAACGGGGCCACGGCCCGCCCTCTTCACATCCAGCATCGCCCTCCCCTCCAGACTGGGCCCACCTCCCCCGCAGACTGGGGCCACCCACACCTGCACCCGCGCCCAGCGAGGACCAAACCCGGGAGCACCCTGAGGGGCGCCTGGTTTGTCGAAAGCACCCAGGGCATGTAACCTACAAATCCTGAGTGTTATCTTTCTGATTCTCCTCATCCATCATTTGTGGACCAGAGGGAATTTTAAAGCTGTCCCCGTGCTCAGAGCCCATGGAGACTCACGCTGACGGCAAAGGCAGACACAGGGCCCTTCGCAGCCACTGAAAAGGCCGGGGAGCACCGGCACTCGGGACAGCGTCCCGCATCTTGGAGCAGGGAGCCGGTGCGCCGCAGGTGTGCGCCGCAGTGGCTCCCCACCCCCCCATCCAATTCACGCGGCCACCTGGGCCCTTGTCCCCCACCAGCCTGGGGCTCCGCAAGCACAGGGAGGCCCTGGTCCCCTCCACACCTCAGGACGCCCAGCATGGCTCTGACTCAGAGCACGTGCATGTCAGGCATGCTGACCAGACGAATCCTGGCCCGTGGCCATGTGCACGACCGAGGGCCTGGGCCTCAGAGAACTCGGGGAGCCTGTCTGCACAGCCAGCCCCACGCCCCCGAGCACGTTCCCGAATCCCGTGCAGCCATCAGGGATCAGAAAAGGCCCACCGTGCTCAGCAAGTGTCAGGGTGTCCCGACCGGTCTCGCCTAAGCCACCTGGGGCCTGCTGGGGGCCAGCCAGAGCCGGTCAGTGCCCAGGGGAAGGGGGGCCCCGGCCCACCTTGAGGCCCCGATTCACGGCCTGAAGGACGATCTCCACCACGGTGGTGGTTTTTCCAGTGCCGGGAGGCCCGTGGATGATGGCGAGCTCCCTCTGGGACAGCGCGAACGAGACCGCCTCCCGCTGGGAGGCGTCCAGGGAGGCGTTGTAGAAGGCCGGCACCTCTGCGGGAGGAGAGACGGGGTCAGGCCCGGCCCTGCGCCCCCGGCGCGCCCTCCTCCCCGGAGCACAGCCGAGCGCGAGGAGGCAGCTGGGCCTGCCCGGCAGTCGCCACACGACATCAACCTGCCGTGTATCAAGGGATTTCTCTGGAGCAGGAAGCGGCAGAGTGAGGACCAGGCCAGGCCCAGGCTGCTGCCCGCTTCCCCGGGCAGCGCTGGACTGGGACCAGCCCCGCCTGCCCTGGCCACAGAGCCTGGAATGCTGACCGTCTGCCCCGTCACTAGAGAGGTCTGCGGACTGGTGCTCCGGAGTAACAGACTTGGCTCCAGTGAGAATCTCTCAGAAACATGTCTGTTTCTGCCATACTGTCCCTTTACACGTGCCCATGAAGTGACAAGACCAAATGACGGGAAAAGCAGTTGCAGATCCCAGGCCCGCGTTTCTGCCCAGGTCTCCCACGACCGTTCACTGTTTGCTCTGTGTGCCCTGTCTGCGCTTCGAGAGCAGGGCCGCTGCGTCTGGCTCCGCTCCCACAGCCCCAGCCATGTGCCTGCCTCTCGGAGACGCTCACTACACAGCCCGGGGGCCGATCGGAGCAAGTCAGACTCAGGCGGACTCGGGAAGGAGGGACGGCACCCGTGCCAAAGCGCCCGTGAGCTTCCCACCATCTGCACCGCACCCATCTCCCCGGGTATCAGCCACGATCAAGACAGGCCACGCTCCTTCGACGGGAGTAAATTCCACGTGTGCACATGGGTATAAGGCACATCGTACATGGACGTGGAAAAAGTCATGACCATCAGACATGAATATCTGGGAGGCGAACTGAACGGCAGGTCTCTGAGTGACTGTGCCCCTGCTCATCTGCTTCCCGATTTCCAAATTTCCCACGTCAAACACACACCACCCTCACAGTCAAAGTTCCTGCCTTCACTGTAAGGTGCTGACAGAATAGCCCAGGAGACTTTTCAGACCAAAAGATAATGCTCTCGAGCACACAGACGAGGCTAGGCCTGAAGCGCGATCACTGTCACCTACTCCCGGGCCCTGGCTGGAAGAGGCACAGACGGGGACTCAGAAGGACCCTGTGCAGAGGGGACGGAGGGAGCCACTCCCCCGCCTGGGCACCGGAGGGGGACAGGCAAGCCGCGCACAGGCACTTGTGAGAAGCAAAGGCAATTTCTTCGGCTGAGAGTGAATTCCCGAACTGGAGCCGACGTGGCCCAGGTCATGGGAGTCTCCCTGCCTTCCACAGTGATCCCAACCCGATGAGCAAAGGCGAAGGGTCTCACGTATGTCGCTGGCGGGGCTGGGGGCAGCGTTGCCGAAGAGGACCTCGATGAGCGAGGACGCAGGGCTGGCCCGGTGCTTCCTCAAGGCAGTCAGCGCTCTGCTCGAGGAGAAAACGCAAATGAGGAGCTTAGTGAAAACCAGCGGGGAGTGCAGGGCCAGAGCCCGGCCCACGCTCCACCCGCTGCGCCCGCAGCCCCCAGCTCCAGAGGGGCCGCAGACAAGCCCAGGCCAACCGGAGGCCCTACTCTCTCTGTCTGGTAGGGACGCGCTCAGGCCGAGAGTGCCACAGTTAAGGAGAACGTTACACGGGAGGTCCAGTCACGTCCTTACGTTTTCAGTCGCCTATAAGTGACGTCATTGGCAAGTTTCAGCAGTCGGTAGGAACTCTGGTGGTCCAAGCTCAACTGGAAATCACAGGACTGGTCAAAGGCCACCGTGACCGACTTCTGGGTGATCTTTGTCAGGACGCCAGTGGCCAGCTGACCGCCCTCACCGTACAGACCCACGATGTCGCCTGTGAAACAGAGACTCAGTCACACAGACACTGAACAAAGCTGACTGTAAATTGTCTTATAAAATAAGTCTTGGCACATTCAAATATCCTATACGTTATTTTCTCTTTTTTTAAGGTTTTTATTTATTTATTTATTTTTAGGGAGGGAGAAAGAGAGGGAGAAAAACATCAGTGTGTGGTTGCCTCTCACATGTCCCCAACCGTGGCCCTGGCCCACAACCCAGGCCTGTGCCCTGACTGGGAATCAAACCTGTGGCCTTTTAGTATATGGGATGATGCTCCAACCAAAAGAGCCACCTGGCCAGGGCCTTCCCTAACTTTTAAAGGCAAACATCAGGTGGCAACAGTGCTCCTGGGGCAGAGGTCAGGCTCTGTGTGCGGGCCACCACAGTAGTGGGGAGCCCCTCCCTACTGCGGCTGCCCCGAGAGCGCCCTGCGTAGGACCCTGTGCCCCCGAAGGCACGCCTCCAAGCCACTGAGCCTTAAAACTGCCCCTCAGGTGGCAAACGCCAAGGCCACCTGGATTTATCGACGGCAGCAGCAAGACACCCAACCCTGCCTGGCTGTCTGTCAGCACAAATGCCACTTCCTCTGACGTCCTGCTTCCGGGTGGCTAGTCAGGCTCTGGGGTCACTCCCTGCACGTGCTCATCAGCTGAACACACGTTTCTACCTCTGTGCACCTGGAGCTTCTAGGCCACCTGCGCAGACATCCAGTCCTGCTCATGCGACCCTGAGAGGCACCAGTGTCACCCCCTCAGCCCGGGTCGTGGCCACCCCTGTCAGCAGGTCCTGTGTAACCCAGTCTTTACTCCAGCAAAACCCAGGTTGAGGCCCATCGCATGCAGTTCACGCCCCCGTCAGAAATGCACTGACCGGAAGAAAGGCTGCTGCTGGGAAGCGGGCCGGCGGACGCGCCCCTCCGGGGCTCCAAGGTCACCAGGAGCTGCCCGTACAGCCCAGTCCGCTGGCTGGACAGCTGCAGCTTCAGCAGACAGACGCCTCGGCTCTGGAGTTCTTTCAGAGAGACGCCTTCCTGCCAGGCCCTGGAAGACACCCAACGGTCGGCACCGGCACTCGTACTTCACCTGTTTTCACTTCCACCGGGCAGGAGAAATCTCCCAAGGAGGGAAATGGAGATGTGGGCGCCGGCACCGAATAGGAGCTAGCAGCATGCTGGTCCCTTGCCTCCCAGAGTGCATCTCCTGACTTGGACCCTGGGCCGCCTTCACCTCCTCGACTCCCGCACCCCCCAGCCTGGTTCCCATGAGTCACTAACTGCCATTGGGCCCCTCCCTCTCACTCTCCCCTCCAGAGCCCTGATTCGGATTCAAGCCCACGTCACTGACAGTCTGGATCGAACTGAGCTTCCTGTGTGACACCTGGGCTCTCCCCCTCCTGCTGCCAGCATCAGTGCCCAACGGATCCCCCTAAAGTGCAAATCTATTCACCCGCCCCCCAACCTGCTTAATTTCAGGGCAGCCTTCCTCCGCACCAAACTGACGCCAGCTCTCTGGCAAGGCCCTTCCCAGCCCAACGCCGGTTCATCTTTTCAAGGGCGCTCACTCTGCACTCGGCACCAGGCCGAGCCCTTGACTTATAGTAGAATCACTTCATTCTCCCGGAAAACCTCTGAGGTGGGAATGATCCCACTGCACAGATATGGTAACTTAGGCTCACAGCCTGCAAAGTGCCACAGCCAGAAATGAAGGTGCTGGGATTCTCCAAAAGCTCTTAATAGTCATGATCCAAGCCCCTGAAACAAACCCCATACAGCACAATGGCTGACCACACACTCCAGAATCAGGTGCTGACGCTGCCTGTGTTAGCTTGGGCAAGCCACTGAAACTCTCTGCCTCAGCCTCCTTAGCCGTAATAGGAGAATTGCACTATGTGCTTTGTAGGGCTGGCAGGGGGTCGAAAGGCACTGATGCAGGTGGAGTGCTCTGCAGGCCTCCACGCGTGCGCTCCCACATAGCGTTTCTGGGAACCAACTGCTCCTGTTCAGACACAAGCCCGTGTCTCCGCTCCTCCTGCAAGTCTGCCTTCGCTCCTGTTCTCCTGCAGCGGTGCTCTGGCACCACGTCCTCCCTGAACCCAGCTTTCATTTACCGACCGCCGTCCCTGTCAGCGGATCTTCCCCACCCCTATGCTCCTGCCGCACCTTCGCGCACCCGGGCGTTAGCATTTGCCACTTGTCACGCCAGAAGGGAACTCGGCTCATTCCCAGGCTCCCAGTGCCAATCACTCTCTCCCTGGGGCCTGGCACACAACAGGTGCAAACGCAGGTGAACGCTAAGGAAGAGGGCTGGGCACGCGCTGGCGGTCAACTGGGGGCAGAGGCGGGACCTCGGAGTGAAAGTCCTGGGAGGGGGACTTTAGATGGAGAAACGAAAGGGCTTCTGGAGGGTCCCGAACCAGAACGGGCTGCCCCGAGAGGTGACGAGGTTTCCACCTCTGGAGGTGGCCGAGCCCCGCCGAGTGTCCGTCCGGGTCTGACCAGGTAAGCGCTGGGGGAACTGCCGGACCGACCCCGAGAGGACCGGTCAGCGGCCGTACCTGCGCTCCTCGACCTCCGCTTCTCTTTCGAGCTCCAGCAGGTCCAACTGCTTGGTCACGAAGCTCTCCACAGTCGCCGAGGCCATCGCCGCCACCTGGCCCGCGCCCGGAGCCGCTAAGGTCCCTGCGCCGCACGGGGAGGGATTCCCCGCCGGGACCGGTGCGTCGACGCACCAAGTTCGCACCGGAAACTTCCGTTTCCGGCCGAGGCCGAGGGAAAATGGCGGCGGCCGTGGTGGCGTCGGCCCTCCCTGTCACCTTTAGGCAAGTGGTGTCCGCGTGCAGCCGCAGCATCCTCAGACAGTCCGGGCCCGGAGCGGGTGAGACCCGGGCCGCGGGATGAAGGGAGGAATCGGGGCAAGCGATACTTCCCGCCGTCCCCCCACGTGTATGTGTGGGAGGAAAGCATCCCACCTGATGCCTTCGGTGCTGCTCGCCTTTTTTTTTTTTAAACGCGTTGGACGTAGTACCGCTTTGGAGTTAGGGAGGGAAACCTACACTCAGATCCTGATTCCTTTAGTTAGTAGTAGCTTACTCGTTGACCGTAGCTTTTCACCTTCTGAATAGGCCCTTTGTTACTGGGGGAGCAAACTGAGGTTTGAGAGGTTAGGTAACTTGCCCAGGGTCACGCAGCAGGGAAGCAGGCGAGGTGTGATTCAGAGATCTCCGTCCTGCTCCAAAACCTGCGTTATACCATTGCGCCCAGGCTTTCAGCCACTCTCTGAGCCTCGCTCTGGAAGGATGGTGATGAATGCCCCCCAGGCCTAACCCATCCAGTGAAAACGGGCTGTAGTCTAGTCGCTGGATTGTGAGGCTCAAAAAAAAGGTTATGTTCATCAAAAACACTGTAAATTTCTGCCTGAAAATGGTTGGAGTGTGTACGTGTGTACACAATTATTTACATATGGTTTTAAGTTGGGCTAAAATGTATATTCGACAATAGCAAAGAATTGTTCCTTTTTAGATGCTGTAATAGTGTCATGGTTACCTATGTTGTTCTGTTTTTTCATTTATTGTTTTTCCTGTTACCATTTATCCCCCCATACCCTCTGCCACCTCCGCCCTGCCCCCCACAATCACCGCACTGTTGGCCATGTCCATGAGTTTTCCTTTTTTTTCTTTTTTGCTTGATTCTTCCATCTCCCAATCCACATTGTTTTGTTTTTTAATAAATTATCTTTCATATGTCGACATAAAAATTGTCCAAACCCATAGAGAATTGTTGTAAGAATTTGTTTGAACCAAAAGGACAAGTGCCAGGAGCAAGATCTCATGCTCCGGAGAATAACAGCTTTGCAGGTTTTTTATGCTTTTGAAATTAAGGAAGAAAGTCAGGAAGGTTACATCAAGGTGGGAGAAGGCAGGGCAGGGACTGGATCATGAGATTACTCGCTTTCTTGGGTGGTTGGCTTTCAAAGGTGGGTTAACCCAGCTGGCGGGAGCAGCAGGCAGGGCTGGCCTAAAACCCTGTCACTAAAGAAGCGATAGGCCTGGGTTGTGACCACCGGCCGTGACCTGCCCAGTTAGGACTTTACGGTTTATTACAGCACCCCTCTTCCTCCACACACAGAAATACACTGATGTCTTTTCTAATAAAACAGTGTCTAACTGGCTTTAATGTAATTGCTGAGTTGGGCCAGAAGCAGTGTCAATCAAACAAGGTGGGCTCAGTAACAGATGAATCTGGGGTCACTGGAGAGAGACCTCGGGGGCCGTGTGCTATTCTCTTCACTGTTGTGTGCTGGACATTTTAGGCTGGGGCATTTTTACCAAAACGGTGGGATTTCCTCTAGAATGCTGCGTTCAGTTCCAGACTCAGAGTTTTTAGGAGAAAAACACAAAATGTAGTGAGTACAGGGAAAGTGACCAAAATGGTGAGCGGACAGAACCTTGAAGGAAAGTGAAGGAAACAGGATGGAAGGACACGGCCTCCATCCTCAGATGCAGTGGTGGTCCGGTGGGAACCCCGTGGGGCCCAAGGCTGAGCTACGGCCGTAGGCAGGAGATGCGGGAGAGCAGGCGGGTCCAGCAGCACTGTCACCGAGCTCCGAACAGTGGGTGGCTCCCAAGGGAGCTGCTGTGTTCCCAGTCACAGAATTCCAGCAGGGGCTTTGCCAGATGACTGAGCGGAGGAGATTCCATTCATTCTCCCACTCACCCGTTCATTCATCACTCACCTGTTCATCCATCACTCGCTGAGTGCCTGTTACACGTCAGACACTGGTCCTGGGCAGGGGTACATCAGTCGCTGACATGCACAAGAACCTCTGCTTGTGAGGGGAGGTTCTGGTGGAGAGAGGGTGTGCAGAGAGACAGGAAGGTTGCTCAATAAGCAAATAATGAGTTAGCTGGTGAGTCTCGTGGAGAAGAATAAAGGATGAGTTGGGGGGTTCAATTTTAAAGCGGATGGTCAGGAAAGCCCCCCACCACTGAGCTGGTGTTCGAGTGGAGACCCGGTGAAACGAGGGGATTAGCCTCTCAGAGCACTTTTCAGGGGAGGAGCAGTCGGGGCACAGGCTCCCAGGGGGGGTGAGCCAGGTGCGTTCTGGGAAAGGCAGGGAAGCCGAAGGGCAGGTGTCGAGGGGGCATGAGGGGGAGTGTGTCCGGGAGGCAGGTTGCTCTGCCACCACCCTGTGGGGCCCTGGAAGGGCTCTGCTTTGTCTGAGTGAAACGGGAAGCTGTTGGAGGGTTTCAGCAGGATGATGGTGTGACGTCACCTAAGGTTTAACAGGATCCCTCTCCGGCTGTGCAGGGAAGGGGACCAGAGGAGAGCGGGTGTCAGCATCACCCAGGCGGGAGGTGGCAGTGGCGTGGATGACTGCGGGAGTCAGAGCCCGGATCGCTTGACCCGAGAGCCAACAGGACTTGCTCGTGGGTTGGCTGAGGGGTGTGAGAGGAGGGTCAAGGAATTGGGGGCTGAGCAAGTGGTCTGGCGAAGTCCCCATCATTTGAGAGGAGGAGCAGACTTGAGGGGAGATTGGGAGCCTCTGGCGGGTTTGGAGATGCTTATCCGACATACAAGTGGTGTGGCACGTAGCCAGGCTGCGGGCGTGAACTCGGAGTCACCAGCGTGTAGGTAACGTTTAAGTCCAACTCTGTGCAGTCCCCAGTGGGGTGGCCATAGATAAAGGAGGGGCAAGGTCTAAGGTCCCAACCCCAGGTCCACCACGATGGGAGAAGAGAGGAAAAGCCACCAAGGAGACAGAGACCGGGGGCAGCTGCCACTGGGTGAGCTTGGAAAGGGCAAGTATCGTGGCACGTAAATTATGGCTCATTTTTTAAAGAAGACAACAGTTACTGAGAAACTTGCCCTTTATTTTGGACCCAAGCTCTGTGCCTTTTGTCCCTGAGCCCTGCAAGTGCCTGGCCCCTGGGATATTAGTGTCTACTGCGTCGCAACAAGTCACCCCCAAATGCCACAGCTTAAGATAACTGACACGTGCCATCTCCCACCGTTTGCAATGGTCGGAACACGGCAGCTCCTAGCTGGGTGGCTCTGGCTCCGATCCCGGTAGTTCCGGGCCAAGCTGTCCGCTGGGGCTGCTGTCCCCTCAGGCCACGGACCTGCTTCCAAGCTTCCCCCACCCCACCCCCCGTGGTTGTCGGCAGGAGGCCGAGGTTTCTCCCCGTGCAGGCCTCTGGCTGGTGCTCTCAGCACCGCAGCCCCCACAGCCCAAGATAACAGAACCTGCGAGACCGAAGCCATGGTCCATTATCACTTAATCTCAGAGTGCTGCCCTAGCACTTCAAACGCACGCCATTGGTCACAGAAGCCAACTCCGTGTCCGAGGGGGTGGGCGGGGATGGGGGGAAGCAACACAGGGCCACCCGGGAGGCCCCTGCACTTGGCACCAAACAGGGTGGGAACCTGTGGGGCCCTGGATGGTCAGGATGGTCAGTGAGGTCGTTTTAGGCCCTTCGGGGGGTGTGACAAGGACGCCCGTGGGGACTACCGATGACTGGCGTGACGCCCTGAGCTCTGTGGGCCCAGGTTTTCCGCAGACAGGCTGGGACGTGGCTGAGACCCACTGCAGGAACAACCGTGCGGGGAGCGCGTGAGGGCGGTTTGATCTCCCGGCGGTAACCTCCCTGTTTCCCTTGCTCCCTCAGCCTCCCTGTGGTCGGCACCTTGGACGTTCCGCTCACAGAGCACGTCGCGTCCCCAAGGGTAAGTTCAGACCATGGGTCTTGCGATTCTTCCCCTTTCACTGGCAGGGTTGTCTTTCTGAAGTCAGAACTTCGGGCATTTTGGTTTTCAGGAATATTTGTATTTTCTTTTTTAACAGTCTCTTTCTCAGACTCTTGATGTAGATAAATATAGACTGACCTTCAAGAGTCCAAAGAGCAGGGCGTTCCAGGCCTCACGTGGCCCCGCGTCACCGAGGAAGGGTTTCGGCCCCCGCCTGGGGGCTTCCTGCGGGAAGGTCAGCTCTGGAGGAGCCTCTGGAATTTGAAGGGGCGTCTTCGGTGTTTAAACCTCGTGCTTAGGAAAGAGACTGTCCTGTGAACTACAGAAGGCGACTCTGGCAAAGTCGAACTGGCGGTGGCTCACACAGATGGAGGCAGGGCGGGTCACCGGGGAGGACCTGCAGCCGGGCCGGAGGCCGTCCACGGAGCTCTGCCTCCTTCTGCAGAGGGGAGCTGCGTACCCAGCCCCGTGGGGATCCGTGAGAGTTAGGGGACGTTCTATACTTAAGGAGCGGGGACAGTGCCTGGTGTACCCTCTACCGCCGCCCGCACCAGGGTCTCGGCAAAGGGGGCCCCAGGGCCCTTTGTTTCTCAAAAGGGGACAGTGACACCTGGGTCAGGACATAATGTGGCTTCTTTTTCCACTTCCCCGCTGGAAGGTGGCCCCCTCCACTGGCTCCTTCCCTGGGTACAGCTGCTCCTGCCGGACCTCAAGCTTCCAGGGCTCTGAGCCAGCGCAGTGGGAACGGTCAGGTGACGCCCTGGCAGGTGACGCCGACCGGGTGCGCTCACTGGTTTCTCAGCTCCGTGGTGAGCGCGTGCCGAGGGCCCCGAGCAGGGCCAAAGATCCCACTTGCAGGCAGCAAACAGCAACAAAAACTTAAAAACAGCCCTGAATGTTGCGGTCTGGGTGCTCACACCTCCCCTTTTTGTGGACTTAGAGAATTTGAGGCAAAAACAGGCCAGGAGTTTCCGGAGACCCCCTGCTCCTTTTGAGGCCAGGCTCCCCTCTTCCTTGCCGCCTGCCCTCGGCCGCCCCGCTCTTTTCTCCACCTGGCTGAGCGCGGGGAGAGGAATGAAGAAGATGCCCACCGGGAGCCGGCGCCCTGAGGCAGGGAGGTGCAGACGGGAGCCAGCAGCTCCGGGTCCCCCCTGCTGGTGCTGCTGGGTGCTCGATGCCCTCTGACCCCCACGGCCCCTAAAGGTGGTGCTTTTGTTCCCATTTTTTCGGTGAAAGAAGCCGGGACCTGAGCAGGTAAACTCCTGCCAGGGTCATGTCCTCGTCAGTGGCGGAGCTGGGTCAGACCCAGACCGCGGAGTCTCCAGGGCAGGCCCTCCCAGAGCAGAGCCCTCGCAGCCATTCTTTCGACTGCTGAACGTTCAGCTTCGTCCCTGGGAGTGCACGGCTGTGCTACAAGGGTGTGTGGGGGCCTGTCCTGATCTGCACCAGTGGGGGGTCCCCAAGGATGTGGGCACACAGCCGTGCTGGCTGCAAGGGCAGCCGCCCTGGCCAGCGGGTGCAGAGTCGTGGCCGACCCTTTTCCTCCTCGGCACTTGCACCCAGCCGACTCTTACGATGCTGAACTGCCTGTTCGCACGTGTGTGACGTGTGTATGAAATGTTCTCTGCAGCTATGTTCCTAAAACGTCCCTGAGTTCACCACCTTGGCCAGAGGTCGTCCTGCCTGACCCAGCTGAGGAGGCCAGACACCACGTAGGTAAGCGGCCGAGTCGCAGGGCAGCGCCCCCCACGGGTCGGTGGCCACCTGGCCACGGGATGGGCTCCGCGTCCCTCCACGCTCTGAAACCCGACGCTGTGCCAACGCTCTGGGCCATTTTTGCCCCTTAGCAGCAGCCTGGAGAGCCCCCTTCCCTTAGACCCCTGAGCACCTACCCAGTGCTGTGCAGCGGCGTGGGTGAGGGCGTGGGTGAGGGAAGGCTCCTGGCCCGCCCATCCGCCCGCTGCTGGTGGCATGTGGGTTCAGGGGAAGGCTTGTCCCCAAGTGGAAGGACGAGACTCGTGTTAGCCCTTGGGCGCCGGCCCGAGCCCTGTGCTCGAGAAACCATCGGGGACCGGGGTGACGTCAGCCTAGAGCAGCCTGTGCGAAGGGTCCCCAGTTTTCCCAGAAAATCTGGAAATCTAGTTGTAAAATGCTGTTTTCCAGCCTGTGGGAGAAAGTCAAGGTGCCACTGGGCCAGGGCGGGCCGGTGGGGGCCGGTCAGACAGTGAAAGGTGCGGGGCAGAGCTCCGAGGCCTGGGCGGGGGCGGTGACCACAGAACCGGGAGTCCGGCCCACGGGGTGTCGCCCCAGGTTTCTCCTCCTCTCTGTCTCGGGGTCTGCACACTTCCCAGTCCCCCAACTGTATTAACAACTACGGGGGGGGCCACATGGGGCGAGGTCCCCACCCAGAGTCGGAGAACGGAGCTGGGCACACCCTGTGCTCCCTCGGGGGCCCGCACGTCCTGTGAAGTCAGGGCTCCTCACCTGGGAAAGCCCTCGGGCCCCGTGGGCCGCTGCGCTGGGGCTTCCGGGACTGGCAGGCGGCCCCGGCCCAGGTGCCCGCACCACAGTGCGGAGAGCGAGGGCTCTGCCACCGGCTGTCGCCCTGCCCTGTGGCCACCCCGCCCTGGGAGCCCCCGTCACACGGCTGCGGGAGAGCAGGGGGCACGGTTTTGCATGGTAAAGCCCCCGGGGCCTGCACAGCAGGTGCCGCTGCCTTCCCGCCGTGGGTCACGCCCAGCCCCGCATGCTGTCTGGCACTTCTCCCGCAGAGCTTGTGAGGAAGGTGAACGAGCTGATCGCCACGGGCCAGTACGGCCGGCTCTTTGCTGTGGTGCACTTTGCCAGCCACCAGTGGAAGGTGACCCCCGAGGACCTGATTTTAATCGACAACGAATTAGACATTGCGTGTGGGGAGAAGATCCGGTTGGAGAAGGTGAGGCTGTTGGTGTCCTTGTGCATTTGGGGACTCAGTTGCCAAACATGGGACTCCTGGGGCACCCTTGCAGAGGTCTCCTCAAGCCGGTGGGGAGAGCAAAACCGGGGACAGGAGAATGAGTGACGAGGGGGCTGGTGGGGCCCCCGCGGACGCCTGGCTCGGGAGAGGCACTCCTCGCCAGGGACACCAGCCGCGTGTCCGCGGACGGTGTCACGTCACACAGACGTGCTCCCACCGCAGGCACGGCGGAGGCCCAGGGGAAATGCGCGCTCCGGCTGGAGCGGGCTGGTCTCGGACCGCCGCTGCCCTGGGTCTGAGCAGTGGGAACCCCGCGCTGTGCGGAGAGCCACGTGTCTCTCCCCTTCCGTCACGTTTGCCGTGTCCACAGAGTCTCTCTGGCCTCTGTCCATGCTGCTTCCACTTGGGAAACTGTGCATAAAACACGAGCCCTCCCCTGGCCAGGTTGGAGCGTTGCCCGTACACCAGAAGTTTGCGGGCTGGGTCCTCCGTCAGGGCGCGCAGGGGGCAGCTGGTCCGTGTTCCCCTCTCTGTAAAGTCCGTAAGCATGCGGAAGGTGAGGATTAAAAACACGCGTGTGTAAGCTCTTTATATCACCATTGTTCTCGGATGCACACTACTGCTAGTTAAGAGAATGAGACACACAGGATTTTCTTTAAAGACTTTATTTATTGTTAGACGGGAGGAAAGGGAGGAAGAAAAACATCAATGTGTGGTTGCCTCTTGCACACCCTACTGGGGACCTGGCCCACAACCCAGGCAAGTGCCCTGACTGGGAATCGAACCAGCAACCCTTGGGTCCGCGGGCTGGTGCTCTGTCCCCTGAGCCACACCAGCAGGGCAGGATTCTCTTTATTAGTGTAAACTCCTCCTTCCCTGTGACGGTCGTTTCTGCGTAGTCGCTCTGTGGTCCTCACACAGTCGCGATCCGAGTGCCGCTCCCGGCCCAGAGCACCCTGGCTTCCGAGCTTCCCGTGGAATCAGTGAGGCCCCGGAGCGCGTCCGGGAGGGTCTCTGAGAAGGCGTCACTCGGCAGCATTTCACATGGACAAAACTGGAGTGCCCCCCCCCACGCAGAGTGACTTTCATAACGCGGGGTTTCTGAAAGTCACTCGGAGACGTGTCTGATCGTGTCCATAGTCCGTGGGGATCTAAATTTAGTGCAGTTGGATTTCTTACCAGTAAAACATAAGACATCTTCCAGCATCCAAGGAAAATAGCCTGCACTGGCCGGGCCACGGTGGCTCTACCTGCGGCCACGCTCGGCGCCACGGCTGCCCTGCTCCGAGGGTGCGGCGGCGGCGTGGGGCTCTGCCGTTGCCCGGTGCCCCGGGCTGGTCTCTGTGGGCCCGTGGCCAGCTCCCCAAGGCTCTGCTGTCTGGCCGTGCATCTCCCCGTGCATGTCAGACCACCCCGTGATGTCTTTCTCTGCTGTGGTTTGGTTTTTCATTGGTAAGCCACCATTTTCATAAGAGGGTGACAGGTGACTTGCCAGGTGACCACGTCAGATCGTCCGCATTCCCCTCCTGCGTCTGGCCGTCTGGGTGCGTCCGTGAGGCACCGCTTAGGCCAGTGCTGTCCGCAAGGGAGGTAGGTGGCAGCTGGCGGCCACGGCACGGGGTCTGCCGACGCCCTTCGAGTCTCCGGTGCGTCTGAGCCACTCCCTGTTCTTATAGACTCTGCCGTGTCGCTTCCCAGGTGCTGCTGGTGGGCGCCGACACCTTCACGCTGCTGGGGAAGCCGCTGCTGGGGTGAGGCGCTCGCAGCCAGGGGTGGGGGGCTCTGTCCTGGGCTGGGGAGGGGCTGGGGGGGCTGGGAGGAGAGGCCGGGCTGGGGGGTGTTGCAACAGAAAAGAGTGAAACTTTTTCAGAAAACCTCACAGACAGCCTCGGCAGAGCCAGGAACTAGGCAAAAAGAACGTCATTGATTATTTTCCTCCCTTCTAGAAGGGACCTTGTTCGAGTAGAAGCCACAGTCATTGAAAAGACAGAATCATGGCCAAAAGTCAACATGAAATTTAAGAAACGGAAAAACTACAGGAAAAAGAAAAGTAAGCAGCCCGGCCCTGTTCTGGGCATTGCCCCTGCTGGGCCTGAGGGGCGGGGCCAGGTCACTCTGGGCCCCCAGTGGGGGGGTCCTGTCTCCTGGACACTCAGGCAGCAGCCACCCGCCACCCCGCTGGGTGGGTATGAGACGGTGCAGCGGGTTGAGCAGAACCACCCTGTGCTGTGGGGCATGCAGGCCTGTGCACATGCGCTCACACACGTGCTCACACACACGCATGAGTGTGCTGGGACATGCCTGAGGGAAGGAGGCCAGGTGGGACCCACAGTCGTGGTTGCCGCTGGACGGGGGCGGGACCGACCGGGAGGGGGGTCGGCCGTGCGCTTGAGGTCAGGTGCAGGTGGCAGGCTCGTCGGAGCTCTCGTCCCTGAGCAGCGGACCCTGTGTTCGTGCTCCACGTTCTCTCGTGGTGCCGGTGCCACGTGGATCCCTCGTGAGAGACGAGCGTGCCAGCTGTGCGGCAGAGGCCGTGCGGTCCGCAAGCTTTGGGGGAGGCGGGAACGGGGTGAGGTCTGGGGTGGGCTGGACAGAGGCTGGTTCCTGTCCAGCAGTGGGGGGGCTTCCACAGGGAGGTGGGATGCCCTTCTGAGGCCCCGAGAACAGGAGCCTGGGGTCGGGCAGGGAGAGGGAGGCCAGAGGTGGCCAGGGCCACATCGGTTGTCAGAGAAGGCCAGGGGCAGCCGGATGCTGGGGGAGCAGAGGGCCAGGTGTGGCTGGTTGCTGGCTGCTGAGCAGGAAGTCGCAGGCAGGCTTCCCAGGGTGGCGTTTGGGGACCGGCCACAGGAGTGTGGTGCAGGTACGTGGTTGGAGCGGGCCCCACCCCTTGAGTAGGAGGGAAGGTAAGTGAGGTTGGGAGGTCTGAATTTCCCTTCCCAACCTCAGGTGTGGGCGCTGGGCTCTGTGTGCAGGGCAGTGGGCAGGTGAGGCCTGGGGAGGAAGCCAGGCAGGTCTCAGTGCCACCACCCACACCTTCTGCCCTCCGTCCTGGAGGGCACACGAGCGGGGTCTGGCCTGCGCGGTCCCGGGTCTCCTTGACCCCACGTTACCGTTCTTTCTCCAGCCCACATCCACCAGCAGTGCCTCGTTCACCCACAGGCAGGAGGGGTGCTGTCCTCCCAGGGGCACCTCTGGACGTCACAGTCCCCATGAAGTAGGGACCGCGCAGGCCACAGAAGCCTGGCTAGGGAGCACTCACAGTCCCTGGCCACAGCGGGAGCGGCTGGCCCGAGCTGCCCCTAGTGGAGGGTGCTCCCAGGACCCTGGAGACGGTGGCTGTGCCAAGCCTCACGGTCATCCAGATGGGGCTGTGCACCCCCTGCTGCAGTTCAGGGGTCTCAGAGTGGGCACAGCGCAGGGACAAAGGCTGGGGGCTGCGGTGAGGGGGCTCCAGGCCCCCAGGTTTCTCAGCCTCTGTGGTTCCAGTGGGGCTCACAGAGCGAGTGGGCTGGGTGGTCAGCACACACCACTTGCCGCGTGCGGCTGCAGGGCCGTGGGAGACGCGGGGCATTGCCTCGGGGCTGGTGCTGCCCAGAGAGGGCTGGTCCGGGGCAGAGCCCCTGGTGGGAAGGGCGGGCGTCTCGGGGCAGGGGCAGGGGCTCTCGGCGGCTGATGAACGAGGTCAGGGTTCGAGGTCAGGCTGTAACCGAGTCCCCTCTCTCTCTCCCAGTCATCGTGAACCCACAGACCGTCCTCCGGATCAACAGCATCGAGATCGCCCCTCGTCTGTGCTGACCGCCACGCTGACGTCCTGAAACACGTCAATAAACCCTTTCCGGGACTCCGAGTCTCTCTGTCCCAGCGCCGAAGGCCCATGCTGGTCGGTCCCAGCCTGAGCCCTGGGTCTTGAGCCTGTCCTTGCTGCCTGTCCCCAGGACTTGGGGGGGGGGGGGCAGCTGACCCAGGGAAGAAGGGGTGTGTCCTGAGCCCAGAGCAGCCAGGGGAGTGGAGGGGGCTTTGGGGAGCGAGTGCAGAGGAGGAAGAGCCCCAGGCCTCCAGTCCCGGCTCTGTGTCTCTCCTGGCCCGGCAGGTTCTTCCTGCGGAGAGTCGGGGCTCTCGAGCACCAGCCATCACACACAGCCAACACTTCCCGGGCAAATCTCCTTCAGGAGCCCTTGGGGGACCGTCCCTGGGGCGTGGGAACCAGAGAGCAAATGAAGACTGCGCTGACCCAGCAGCCTCTCCCCAACACCCCTCGGCTCCCAAGTCAGTCTGGTGGAATGCTGGCCCAGCCCTGGGGACCAGCCTCGCCAGCAGGCAGTACCCTCCATGAACAGCAGGGGGCGAGAGTCCTGCAGGAGGAGACCAAGACCCAGAGCCCCACTTTTTCCAGGCTGCTTGGATGGGGGCAGGGACGACCTCAGGAGGCAGGGTGCCCTCTGGTGGTGCCCTGGAGCCGTTCCACTGACTTCCCACACGACCTGGCTCACTCCACATCCGGGGTAGGCCTCTCTGGCTCTCTCTGCCAGCCTGGCACCGTGTCCTGCGCTCCTCCTGGGCAGGTGGTGACATTTGAGACTGGAGTCCCCTCCCACATTCTTTGAAATGCACATCACACACATGCCTGAGTAGAGAACGGGTTCGGAAAAGTGCCCAGGTCAGCAGTGCGGCTTCCTGGGCGCTGGAGCCACAGACCAGCAAGCCACTCGTGGTCTCGGCCGAGTTCCCAAGCACGAGGCCTGCGCTTCCCACCCGTCGGGTGGGGGTGAAGCGCGCCCATCAGACCCCGCTGCGTTCCCCAGACGGGCCCAGCCTGGCACCGTGCCCGCTGAGCACCGACCTCGGAGCCGAGCCGGCCAGTGCTCACTCCTGAACGCGGGTCCTGGCGTCATTCACAAAAGGCAGACATAACTCGTGTCTGGGGGAAACGCACTGACCGCTGCAATTTGATGGCCTCGGAAGTGAGCCGGGTACTGCACGGCCCGTGCCTCTGTGGGGTAGCCCGGGGAGGCGGAGGCGGAGGCGGAGGCGGACGGGACCCCTGGGGCGCGGTGGGTTGGCACGGGTCTCACGGGTGCAGGGTTTCTGTCAGGGGCCTGGAAAAGCCAGGAACAGTGACAGTGGGGCAACATGAGTGTCACCCAGTTGTCACAAATGGTAAGTTTCACGGCATGGACATTACACCACGATATTCAAAAAAAGAAAAAAATGGCCCTGACGGGCGTGGCTCCCTCAGGTGGGCGTCGTCATGCAGAGTGAAAGGTCGCCAGTTTGATCCCCAGTCCGGTTCCTGGTGTCAGGGTGTCTATTCATTTGGCCTGAGCTGCTCGCCTGCCTCGCCCCAGCCTGGGGTGCGGGCGCCTGTTTTACCGGCACACCCACAGCCACCATCCCCCCCACCCCCGGCCCGGCACACATGCGGCCGGTGTGCTGAATGAATGCATGAATGGATGTCTCCACCAGAATCCCAGTTCCCGCCGCTGGTGATGACCGTGGGTCCCCAGTCAGGACTGGGGCTGCCGGCTCCATGCAGAGCAGACCTCTGCGGGCCTGGCGAGGAGGGTGGCTACCCAAACCCCAGGAGAACATCGAACAGGCAAGAGCAGCTAAGAGCCATGTTCTTGTGCTGGTGGCCCAGGGCTGTCTACGAAGCCACCTCAGGGGCTGCCCTGGCTCCAGCAGGCCAGCACCTCCACACCCCCAAGGCTCCTGGGCCTCCCCTACTTCCGCAGGGGCGGGGCTCTGCCCTCGGGCTGGAGGTGAGCAGAGCCCCGGTGCCCTTTGCCCCACTTCCTGTGCAGACTGCTCGGCGGAGACGGGCAGGTGCAGCGCCAGGCTCCCGAGGGCTCCCTGAAAGGGCCTCTGGGCTTCCTCTCCCGTCCCCCCCACCCCCGTGACGGCCAGCAGGGCACTCAGACGTCCCCCTCGGGAGCTCTGCCCCCCGTTCCAGGCCTGGATGTGCAGAACAGAGTGGCAAGGTCTTGCCCTACCCCCGGCTCCTAGTGAAAAGTCCAGGGCCCGCAGAAGCTGCCACGCATCTCCCTCCAGGTGGCGTTTTAAAGTGCACTTACATCGCAAGGGGGCTGCCTTGGAGCCAGCACTCGAAAGAGGCGACCGTGGGAGAGGGAGCCCTGCTGGGCGCAGGCCCCACGCTCCCGGTCCAGGGACGCGGACCACAGGCCCTGGAGGGCTCTAGTGCAGCCCGGGCCTGGCCAGGGACGATGGCGACGCCTGCTGAGCAGGGCTAGGAAAGGCCCGTCCCACCTGCCGACACACGCAAACCCCTCGTGGCCATGTGGCGAGAGAAGGGGGCTCTGGGGCAGGTGACCTCGTCAGGCAGGTGGCAGTGGGCGTCCTCACCATGGTTGCAGTGGCGGTCACGTTACCATGCGTAGCTCTCTGGCACTCGGACAACTCTTGCCTTCCAGAGGATTTTCTCCTCCCAGGGTGACGGAAGGCACAGGAGTGGACCCCCGGGACTTCCTCCCGTCAAAGCCGGGCCTTGCGGTTAAAGCCAGCACATCATCTGACGAGGAACGCTCTCCTTGAGAGAAGTTCTCCACTCTCCAAAAAGACAGCGTGTTCTGTTCCAGGGCCGGCCTGAGGCTGACTCTGGAAGCCTGGCTGTCTTGGGGGGTGGGGGTGGGGGGCGGGGAGCCGCCCCTGCACACACCTGGCCTGCCTGGGTTGCTTTGGGTGTGCTGAGCTCCCCGCAGGGGAGGGACCGCCAAGGCCTGGGAGAGCGCTCTCCCGGGAAAGTTCAAATCAGACCGAAAGGCCTCCAGAGACTCAGAGAGCAAGCTGCATGTGTGGGGCAGGGACAGCCCTTTCAGAGGCAGGACCCCCCCCCCCCACGACCCAGGGAAACTGCCTGCACTCTGCACCTGTGCCCCCCACAGGGCCCGGCCGTCCCCTCCCCTGTCAGCACAGGTTGACAATCCTACACGACAGATACGGAACGTTAAGGAGCGTTCACACTGTCAGCTCCACAGGCGCAGGTGGGGTCACTGCCCTGAGCTCTGGCTCCCTCCTCAGCCCCTCAGGGCAGGGCGGTGTCTGCTGCAGGGAGGCCCCGCCCCAGCCGAAGCCTCAACCCACAGGAGGGCCCAGTGACGCCTCCCCTGGGCTCTCGGGACAGCCCCTCCACGCAGGCGCCACTTCTCCAATTTAAAGTGTGGGTTTTACTACCTCTCAGGTGTTGTGAGGCCGACAGATCAGGGGACGACCACCTGTGGCACCAAGGTTTGTTAGCAGGGACACGTCACATGGGGGGCAGGGGACACAGGGGCCGTCGGGAGGCAGAGGGAGACCAGGAGCAGTAGGCAGGGGCCTGGGCTGCGGTTTCCACGGGAGGAACCAGTGAGGCAGGTCTAGGTGGGCCGGCCTGGATCATTTCAGCGCGCCCTGGGGCAGAAGGGGTGGCCCTGGGTGTCTGGCACCCCGCCTGGGTGCTCCTCCCACGGGACAGTGCCCTGAGCGCGTGGCCTGGGAGGCGCTCGAGGTTTGGACTCCACGTGGATTGAAAGGCCCACTCTCAGCAAGCTGCTCTCCATCCCTAGAAACCGGCCAACGCTGGCAGGGGCGTCCCCCGAGTCAGCAGGGCCCCCCTTGCCACAGCGTCAGAGGACAGAAAATAGAACAGGCAGACACAGCCTCGGGCAGCTGGGTGTGCAGGGGGGAAACACCAGGTCTGGTGCTCCGAACCCAGACTCCAGCCTCGCATGGGCTGGTTTGTGCCACCAGGCGGCACCTTTGGGTGCCTCCACCTCGCCAAGCGCCCAAGAGAGCAAACTTCTCCTACACACACTCAACCATGTCCAGACAGGAGCCAGCGAGTGGGGGTGCCTTGTCCCGGCCTTCCCCCAGGGGGCAGCCCCCCACCCCCCACACACCTGCAGCACCCCTTGAGGTTCGTCTGTCTCACGATCTGAGCTGGGGCCGCTGCGATGAGCTGGGCCAGCGTTCTTGAGAAGGTAGTCATGAAGAGTGTGGCAAGCAGCCTCAAGTGTGGCAGAGAATGACCAGGAGCGGCTGCCCCGAGGGAGGGCAAGCTGACGGTAAAGCCGCTCAGGATGTGAAAGTCCCAGAGGTCCCACAGCCCCAGAGGTAGAAAAGAACTCAATGTTCTGGGACCGTTTGCCCAGTGGTCACTGCAGAGGAGATGGCCAGAGAGATGGACTCCAGGGAACAAAAGCTGTCCCTGCCATGAGAGCAACACGACCACTGATGCGAGAGTGCTGGGTCGGGGCCCCTGCATTCAGGGAAGCATCAGCGGCCTGGAGCGCAGCCCAGGGAGGGCGTCCGGGCGGGCAGGGGCTTCCGGCTCCTGCAGAGCTCGGGCCCTGGTTCGCCATGATCCCCACCCCCCACTGTGAACACCTGTAGGACGACCCACACCCCAGGCGGCCTAGGCAGAGACTGCAGAGCACCTGTGGGCAGGTGTGTCTGCCTCTCCTCTGAGTCTGAAAGAACCACGTCTGGTTGCTACAGGTTGAACTGTGCCCCTGGGAAATTCCTAGGTTAAAGACAGAACATCTGAGTGCGTAAACCCGAGTCCCGCATTCCTCTGAGTAGGTGTCTGAATCTACCGCGAACACCTTCTCAGGTGGCAACAGGCTGCCCTTATGCAGCCACACGAGGCCCGTGCCAGGGAGTGACTCGATCGAGCGTTCTTCCCAAAGATGCCCTCTCTCCCCGGGGCTGGGAGCCTTGTCGGGGACCCCAGGACCCCAGCCATAACCCGGCGGCATCGGCCACCCCTCTTCCACCTTGAACCGAGTGACTGCTGCTCTGCCATTTCTCCTTCACAGCAAGACTCGGACTCCTCCTTCTGGACCCATT